AGTTGCAAAATTTATTTCCTACTTTCAAACATGTTGTGAATCAGGGGAACTAAGCGAGTGTTTGCGATTGCTTCTACTTTAAAAAATCGATTTTTTAAAGTGATTTTGGAAAAAGTACTTAATAGTAAAAGTTGGTAGTGTTTGAGAAAAAAGTGATTCTAAAAAAGTAAAAATTGATAGTGTTTGGTAAAATAAGTGTTTTTTTGTGTAAAATTGAAAAAGTGTGGAATCTTTTTAAATATTTTGGAGATGAGAGGAATCTTTCAAAATCTTATGAAGGCTAAAGTATGGAAGGGTATGGAAGAGAGTGGAAGAGTTTAGAGATTACTAAAGTGTGTAGAGCATTCTAGATAATAATAAAATCTACTCTTTGATATACGAATAAGAAATAATTACATATTTATGTAAAAAATGAAGACAGTTTACAAAAATGTGATTAGTTACAAGAGTAGTAATGAAATCATAGTAACTTATGTTCAATTTCTAAACTTAAGTTACTATAATACTACATTGTAGCAACTAATAGTTATATTTATGTAAATAAATTGTATTGTAGTATTATTATTGTAAAAACCCTACAAATATACCCCACCATTCATTGGAGCGAGAGACGAATTAGTATAAATATGGGTAAGGGTCTCCATTCCTAACAATCAAAGTCAAGAGAGAAAATTCTTTCTGGAGTGAAAAAGTAGATAGTGAGGTAGTCTATCTGAGTGAGAAGAAAGATAGATTGGCAAGGGTTTATTCTCAATTAAGCTTGAGTGAGCAACCATAGAGTGAGTCAATATTTATACATGCATCCATGCAACCCTATTATTCTTTAGCGCAGTGATGGAATCTCCATATTGGGAAATTATATTCGTTTGGTCCCATTGCTACCTTTAATTCTTATTCACTTATATTAATTTCACAAAATGAGAAAGTCAAAGTTCTAATATTTTAGTTAAATATGAAAATATTCCTGAAATTTAGTACCTTCAACCTCTCATCTAAAATATTAGAAAGATCAAATATGAAAAGATATTGTGGTGATTAAGTTTGGATATGGCTAAGGCTTTTGATAAGCTTTCCCGGACTTATCTAGCTGAGGTTTTGGCCAGATTTGGGTTTTCCAGAAATTTTGTTTCTTTGGTCCAGCAGAAACTTTCACTTATACACATAATTGGAACAAATATCAGCATATGAGAGTAAAGGTGTTTATTAATCCTTCTAGATGTCCCTTGTGTCTTAATCACAATGATTCATCTGATCATGTTTTCTTTTGGTGTTCTTACACAAGGAAAATATGAGAATATTTTAGGAATGTCTTCAATATATCAGTTCCAAGAATTAGTTCCTTAAGGCAGGTTTTGATACTATGGTGGATTTAGGCTGGTTCAAAAACCTTAGCTGATATTTTTAGACATAACATTCCTGACGTTATTTGTTGGCATATCTGGAAAGCTGATACTACATCAATCTGGGGTTCGGGCAACACACCTACTACTGACCAGCTAATCTTTCAAATCAAGCTTTATTCGCAAAAATTGGGCTCACAGACTGATGAATATCAAACAAAGGAAGATTGAGGATTTTCTCTACAAGGAGCAGTTGATATCAAGGAATTTTAAATTTAAAGCTTTGGGTTGGAAATTGACAAAGTGGAGAAGGCATGCGGTTAACTTCAAGTTAAACGTTGATGCCTCTTTTATACCTGGGATGGCGGTTGGTGGAGCAATTCTTCGGAAGAGGGAGGGTGAGATATTCTTGTGAAATAATGGGAAAGAGGTGCTCCAATAGGAGTCCTGGCAGGTATATTTATATTAAATGAGAGTTTCCAAAAGACACAAAGATTCCTAAATTATATAAACTATTACACCCCCTCAAGCTGTGCGGGAGATACAACGCGCAGGTTGTCTTTTAAAAAATTAAACTGTTGACTAGACAATGCCTTAGTGAATATATCCGCAAGCTGCAAGTGTGTGGGAACATACTTCACGAATAAATCACCATGAGCAACTCTCTCACGAACAAAGTGATAATCAATCTGAATATGCTTGCTGCGAGCATGCTGAACTGGATTAGCAGTTAAGTAGGAAGCTGAGATGTTGTCACAAAATAACTGCACAGGATCACGGATAGGGTAGCCGAGCTCAAATAGGACCGAACGTATGTGGAGTGTGTCCTGTACTGTGTATGCAATGGCTCGGTATTCTGCCTCCGTGGAAGACTTGGACACTGTAGGTTGCTTCTTGGACTTCCAAGACACAAGGTTAGGACCTAGAAAAATAGCAAAACCTGTGGTAGAGCGAGAAGTATCTGGACAGCCTGCCCAATCAGCATCCGAATATGCCACCAGACACAAAGAGCGGGCAGATTTCTGAAGCCACAATCCATGATCAATTGTACCCTGTAAATAACGGAATATGCGCTTGACAGCAAGCATGTGAGTGGTGCGTGGGGCATGCATAAACTGAGACACTAAATGAACTGCATAAGTAATATCAGGTCCTGTCAAAGTTAAATATTGCAATGCACCTACCATACTACGATACTCCGTAGCATCAGCAAGAAGTTCACCATCAGTGAGAGAGAGAGATGTACGAGTGGCGACTGGGGTGCGAACAGACTTGAGAGTGTGTAAGTGAAAACGAAGAAGAAGATCATAAACATATTTTTGTTGAGACAAAAAAACGCCATTAGAATTTCGAACAGCCTGGACTCCCAAAAAATAATGAAGATCACCGAGATCTTTCATTGCGAAGTGAGAAGCAATACAGGTAATGAAAGAAGACACAAGAGATGGAGAATTGCCAGTAATAATAATATCATCCACATATAATAATAAATACATAACTGACTGACCGTGACGGTAAATAAACAGAGAATTATCTGACTTACTACACACAAAATTATGAGTAAGTAAGAAACTACTAAAACGATGGAACCACGCCCGCGGGGCCTGTTTGAGACCATATATGGCTTTGCGCAAACGACACACATGATGAGGAAACTGGGGATGAATAAAACCCTGCGGTTGACGCATATAGACCTCCTCTGTAAGATGACGACCATGAAGAAATGCATTTTTAACATCCAACTGACGCATAACCCACCCAAAAGAGATAGCAAGAGTAAGAACGATACGAACAGTGGTGGGTTTAACAACAGGACTAAACGTCTCAGAAAAATCTACACCAGCCTGCTGATTATACCCCTGAGCTACCAAACGTGCTTTATGACGCTCTATCGACCCATCAGAGTGAAATTTAGTTTTATAAATCCATTTAGACCCAACCACATTCTTAGAACTGTCAAATGGAACTAAATCCCAGGTATTATTGGAAATAAGCGCATTAAATTCATCTGCCATAGCCTCACGCCAAATTAAATGTTTTTGTGCCTCAGAAAAGCAAGTAGGATCAACTGCACTAACCACTGTGTTTAACGTAAAAATTGATTTGGGTTTAAAAATACCGGACTTAGCCCGGGTTTGCATGTGATGAATATTAAATCGGGGACCAACTGTGGTGATGGGAGGAGAAGACGGAACAGCCGAGGACTGTGGACTAGGCTGAGGATGAACTAATGGGAAGGGGCTGGTCGGAGAGCTGGATAGGTTGGCGGCCGAACCTGGGCTGAAGGGAGTAGGGGTTTGGTTGGTGTTTGAGATGACCGAAGGTGAAGGCTGGGAATTGGCTAAGGGTGGGGCGGACTGGGAGCTGACCGAGGAATGTACCGAGGGTGGGGTTGACGGAAAACTGGTCGAGGAGGGTGCTGAGGTCGTTGGGTTGACAGAAGGGGGAGTTGGATGTATAGGAAGGGAGTTAGCTGAGGGAGGTCGAATGGTATTGCTAAGGGTGAATTGAATATTATCAGTGGGAGGGGAGGATAAGTGAGAAGAAGAAGAGGTTAGGGAGGTAAAGGGAAAACTATGTTCAATGAACCTAACATGACGACTGACATATATTCTACCGGATTTAGGTTCAAGACAACGATACCCTTTATAACCAGATGCATAGCCAAGAAAAACACAATGAACAGAACGAGCTGAAAGCTTGTTTGCAGAAGAGGCTGAAATGTTTGGAAAACATGAGCAACCAAACACACGCATAAAGGCATAGTCAGGGACTTTTTGGAAAAGTTTTTCATAGGGAGAAGAGTTACCCAGTAACGGAGAAGGTAAACGATTAATAATATATGCAGCCGTAAAAATAGCATCTACCCAGAATTGACTAGGAATAGATGCTTCAAGAAGCATAGTCCTAGTGAGTTCGAGCAGATGTCGATGTTTACGTTCAGCAACCCCGTTTTGTTGGGGCGTGTCAGGACAAGATTTTCGAAAATATATTCCATGGATATCAAAAAATTGCTGCATATTAGAATTAACAAATTCACCCCCTCCATCACTTTGAAAAATTTTAATTGTAGTATTAAAAAGATTTTCAACCAAGGCTTTAAAATTTTTAAAATGATGAAACACTTCCGCCTTTGTGTGCATGGGATACAGCCAGGTATAGCGAGAAAAATCATCAATAAAGCACACATAATATTTAAAACCCAAATTAGATAAAACAGGAGACTGTCAAACATCCGAATGAATTAATTGCAAGGGCATAGTAGTATTATGACTAGCATCCAGAAAGGGTAGACGTTGAGATTTGCCTAAACGGCAAGAAATACAGTCATGTGAAAAGGGAGAGATACTACTAATATGATGCTGACTATGTAAAGTACGTAAAATAGAAGTGCCACAATGGCCTAATCTACGATGCCAAATTGAGCCAGATGAAGCAAGGGAAGACAAAGCAAGCGGTGTCTGAGGACTGAGGCTGACTGGATAGAGATGACCATGACTAGGAGCTTGCAGAAGGACCGTCCCCGAAAGTTTGTCCTTAACAAAAAAATAATTTTTATCAAAAATTACAACACAGTTGTTATCAGCACAAAGTTTTTGTATAGATAATAAATTAAACTTAATATGAGGCACATGAAAAACAGATTTTAACGTGAGAGGACGGCTAGAAGAATGTAGATGAACATCTCCAATATTAGCAATGGGAAGTTTGGAACCATTAGCGACACTAATAGAAAGGGGTCCAGTATAAATTGATTTATTAACTAAAATACCTTCCGTAGGAGTCATGTGAGCCGAAGCTCCAGAGTCAGGATACCATAAAGCAGAGTTTGATTCCCCATTGGAGGTCAGCAAAGCTGGCGCAGATGGCGGAGCATACCGGGATGGACACTGAAGAGCAGAGTGACCTGCAGAGAAACAAAGCTGACAGACAACGGGCGGTGGAACAGAACCAAGAATTCCCTCACCCGATGGGAAGCCTGCAGAGCTAGCGTTAGTACGATAAGTAAAGCATGGATTAATATTTAAAGTTGACAAAACAGAATTACATGCAGAACCTGAAGTGTTTGGACGAGAAGATTGCACCCCCTGAAAATAAGCTTGCTGCTGATTAGTTCCAGGCTGACCGAGCCCCTGCTGGCCGATGCCAGGAACTGCTGGATGACCACCGTGAGATGGCGGTGCTCCTGCCGGCTACTGTGCACTGAAAAACGGTGCTGCCTGGTAACCATAGGGCTGGTGTGGTGGCCCTCTGCCACGACCACGACCCTGGCGGCCGCCTCGTCCTCTGCCGCGGCCTCCCCTTCCGCGAGCTGCATAGCCCGCCGGCTGCTGCCCCCCATTAGCAGCGACTGCAAAAGCTTGATGACTAATAGCCGCGTGTTGTTGACGTTCAGATAAAATTTGTTGTTCGGCTTCGAGGAGACGGGGTTCAAGAATGTCAAAGGGAAAGTTTTCGGGAAAGAGAGATACAGTAGTAGCAAGAGGCTTGTAGTCTGGACCCAAACCAGCCAAAACAGACTGAAGTAACTCTTTATGCGAAACAGGAGAATTAATAGCGGCTAGAGCATCAACTAAATTCTTGATTTCCCGTAAATAAGCTTCCATGGATTGGGTTTCTTTCTTCTTGACATTGGACAATAATCGTTTAAGTTCCATGCATCGGGGTAAACTGGCATACATAAATCTAGTCTGTAGTCTAGCCCAGATAGCAGCTGAGTGTTTCAGATCATGAACATCAACTAACACATCCCGAGTTAGAGTAGCAAACAACCAACATCTTATTGTTTGATCCACTCGGAGCCAATAATGATATTCTGTGTTTGGAACTGGGCGATTTAGATAATCAAAGTTATATATGGAGGGTACCTGAATTGAGCCATCCACCATGCCAAACAATCCTTGAGATACCAAGAAGGATTCGAACTGTGTGCGCCAGGTGAGATAATCTTCTACAGCTTTCAATTTAATGGTGACAATTTGAGAGACCGTGGTGATATGCGCCACAGATTGGGCAAGGGCTGCCATTGGAGAAGAATGACCTGGCTGATCATCTGGACGAATCACACCCGGAGAACCGGAGAAGGTGGAGCCAAAAAACGAGGAAGCCGGGACTTGAGGGCTGGAGAAGGCCGGTTGCTGCGGCTGAATCGATGCCTGCGGCTGGAAAACTGGTTGATGTTCCGGAAAAATAGATGGCCTGGTAGAAACATAAGGGGGATTGTCAACCATAGAAAAAGTTGGTGGTGGAGGAAAATTGGTGAAGAGAAGGGAGGAGGCCGGCCGCAACAAGGGAGAACCGGATGTAGGAGATAGATGTGCAGCGGAGGAGGTGAAGACCACACTTGGTTGGAGGATTGATGTTGAAGAGGATTCCGGTGCAGAAGAAACGGCCGAGGTCATGGCAGCCGAAGCCATAGCGGTGGAGGAGGAGGCGGACGAAGCCATCGTCCGATAGTAAGGAACGAGAAAAAAATTAGGTTTGGGCTCTTGATACCATGTGAAATAATGGGAAAGAGGTGCTCCAATAGGAGTCCTGGCAGGTATATTTATATTAAATGAGAGTTTCCAAAAGACACAAAGATTCCTAAATTATATAAACTATTAATTCTGGGCGACATCCTTCAAGCTTCAGGCGGCCACGAGTTTTGAAGCCGAGCTCCAGGCCTTGATTCATGTTGTAGATTATGCGATGGCAAAGGGATTTGCTGGATTTCAGGTGGAAACTGATGCTATCTGCGTGCTTGATTTACTCCATTCGAACGTTTTAGGAAACTTCTCTGGCCTTCAGACATTTCGCAGGAGGGTAAAGGATAAGGGAGTATTCTTTTGCCATGTTTTACGTGAGGGTAATGTGCCAACCCATAACCTTGCAACCCAAAGAATCGACTCGGCCTGCTCTATTCTCTTTGACGGGTCCAAAATCTGCCCAACAATGTTAAATCTAGTTATTATGCTAATTTGTACGGTTTTCCACATTTTCGATATTAATTTTTAGGCTTGTATTTTATATTTGGGTTTGGTTTGGTCCCCCCAAATGCTGTTTCATTTCTTCAGGGAGGTCTCGGTTTGGTCACCTTCTCTTGATGTATTTTTTTCCACTATTAAATAAAACTTTGGCAAATGTCCTCCACTGATTTTGGTGGGCCACTGATTTTGGCGGTTTAGCTTCCGGGGTAAAAAAAATAAGTAAAAAAGTTTCTGATGGTAACATCTCACCAAACAAGATCCCTAAAAAATCAACTACATTATTAACAAAGTCATTGCTAGTACATGATCAAATTAGCATTACCATAGATTTACTTAATGGCATAAATAGGGGGGTCGCGAGCTCATCTGAATTAGATTAACTATAGTAGCGGATCTAGACCTTTTGTGAAGTAGGGGCGAAGATGGACATGGGTCAGTATGAAAATGAGTTGGGTCGCCCGCTTCTAATTCTGTTAGTTCACGCATCACCCTTTTTGGATCAAAATATGTCATTAAAATTTATTCAATTAATATGACATCCACTAGAAACAAATTCGATCATATCTCAATGTATGAACTATATTCATGAACCCATTTTTAAACACTAAAAAGTTAAATTTAATGGCAGCAACCTTTAACAAACAAACAAATCTTTCAAACCTAACAAGTGCTATCTTTTTCTAATCAAATCTGCCAAGTAATTATGTTCAGTCATTGGAAAACATATAGTAGAAATTCGAAAATAACTTGTAGTAGGATTACCCATATGAACTCATTTTTATCACAATAAATCTAACTTAAATGACTACAATTTCATGAAAACAATAAATTTACAATCATAACAACGGATGCATCTTTTTTCAATTAAAATGTGTCATGTAAATCTACTTGGTCAATATGACATGTGTTTAACTTAAGTCATATCTCGTTGTAGTATTATCTATTATAAATCTTTTTATATCACTAAAAAGATTACTCATAAAGATCAACTTGCATGGACAAAACATATTTCAAACTCTAAGAGATTCATCATTTTCAATGTAAGATAATTTAGAGTTTTTTCCTAAAATATTACTAAGATAAAAGTCATGGACAAAAATGTGTCTAAGTAACTTTTAGTGACTATAATTATGTTCAATGTTTCTATCGTAGTCACTATACCATAGTAACTTTGAACACAATTATAGTCATTAAAAGTTACCAAGTCACATTTTTGTCCACTACTTTTCAAAGAGTAATATTAGTGGATTTTTTCATATTTTTAATCAATTTGACACATGATAGAGAATTGATCTTAGTCCATTTCAGATCATTTTAATATTAAATGCTAATTTAAAGAATACAACTTTCATGAATAGCAACTATTTCAATTTTAAAACATGCATTGTTTCCTAATCATATACTAGTATAAGTTTAGGGGTATGATTATTCTTTTGATCATAAAGTCGGAAAAGGTACTTGTGGTTGGACACGTTTTCAGATAGGGTCATGTGTTTCATTTTTTTTAACAAAATTGATCATGTGTTAAGACTTCATTATCATAGGAGGGTCCTGGCACCTAACACCATTAAAAATGAAGGAGGAAGACGATAAATAGTAACTCCGATTTTGAAAATTGTCCGAAGAATTAAAAGAAAAATACCGGAAGGTGTGCCTCGTCAAGAGGACCTCCAAACCATATTCATTTTTGGATTTTTTGTATCTAGTTGGATTAGTTTTTAGAAATAAATTCGCTAATATCACTTTTCTATTAGACTTGCTGCAACAAGGGTGACAGAAAAAATGGCTTATAAGTCGTCTTGTTGAGGTGCACCTCTCATTATTTTTCTTTAAATTTTCCTAGTACTTTTGAAAATCAGAGTTATTGTGCATCGTCTTTCTCCAATGATTTGTAACAGCTTTAAATACCAGGACCCTCTCGTGATAACGTAATTTAAACACATGACCCACTCTATTAAAAAATGAAACACACGCTCCTATTTTAAAACAGGCCCAACCATAGTAAGGAAGTAACGTTATCATATTTGAAAGTAGTTTCTTTGTATCGTCTGAGTATAATGTATATGTCTGAACAATATGAGCTAGTGTATGAATAAAATTTGTTTCTCATTAAATAAACACAAACCCGCTATTATCACTGCTTCTACCATTGTTTGGTGGAGGTAGAAGCAATGGTAATAGCAGAATTACTCTAGATGGTAAGGAGATACCGGTTAGCGATATGTTCCATGACTTGGGCTCCATAATTCAGAAGGACAGTGAGTTATATGGAGATGTATCCCATTGAATCAGAACAAGGTGGATGAAGTGGAAGAGTGCGTCAGGATTTCTATGCAATCGAGGTATGCCGACTAGACTAAAGGGTAAATTTTATAGAACAGTAATTAGGCCTGCATTACTGTATGGCGTAGAGTGTTGGGCGGTGAAACAATGTCACATTCAAAAGATGAGTGTGACAGAGATGCGTATGCTGCGTTGGATGTGTGGGCTTACTAGGAAGGACCGCGTGAGAATTGAGACAATCAGACAAAGGGTGGGAGTAGCACCTATTGAAGACAAGATGCGGGAATCGCGCCTACGGTTTTTGGTCACGTGCCTAGAAGACAGAGTGATGCACCTGTCAGACGAGTTGAGATGTGTGGAGAAGAGGCACGGAAGAGAGGGAGAGGAAGACCAAACAAACGTGGGTTAGGGGAGTTCGAAGTGATATGCTTCTTCTTGGGTTGGATAAGGGTATGACTTCAGACACAGCAAAGTGGAGGGCGGGTATACGTGTGGAGGAGTGATCTCGTATCATCTTTTCCCCTCTTCTTTTCTTCTTCTTGTTTTTTATCTCTTTATGCTTATATGTAATCATTATTTTTATCCTTTTTATTTTATCATTTTTATGTGTATTCATCTCTTTTTATATTATATTTTTTTTATAATAGCTTATCTTTTTTATCTTTATTTTCTTTCTTTTCCTTTTGGTGGTGGTATCATGTATCGATTCATGTTAGCCGACCTCAATATATTTTGGGACTAAAGGTTGGATGTTGTTGTATTAAATAAACACAAATAAAAAAAGCAGATTTTTTTATTACATAAGACACTACTCGGACATGATGTAATTCAAAGTAGTTGAGATTTTTAGATAAGAGATCTTCAATTTTGACAACAATAGGGACCATGAGATTATTAAATTGCAGCTCATGTCGTCAATAAACTTAAATTATGCATTTGTAGTTATAGTACAGAGTACTATTTAGGTAGCCTAAAAATTTATCACTTTTTTTTAACAATACAGTAAACTAGTAAAGCCAACAGAATTACTAGGCATTGACCATTTCAAGAGAGTTCAATAAACAAATCACTATACCACTAGAAATCAATTAAGACTATTTTTACTTGAATTAACATCAAATTAAGTCAATTCAATCAAACTTAAATGGATCACACTTAGCAGAATTCACCATATTAAGGAGGTAAGGGTCAGATTGGTACTCGAAGTTGCATAAAAAGGGTCAAATAAGTCCTTACTAGCTTTCCGATCGTCTCCATTTGAGGCGGTTCCCGGTTGAATTTTTAGATGTTTTTTTTAGCATCTTATTTATTCATTAAGTCTAGTTTACTCATACTAAAACTTCAATCAGGAAGACATTCAAATGAATTCTTGAAGATAAATGCGCTTTTAACTGCAAAGGTTATGTTCAAGAATTCATTTGAATGCCTTTCCGGTTGAATTTTTAGCTGAAATTTGATATGGGTAAACTAGACTTAATGAATAACATGTTAAAAAAATTTCGTCAAAAAAATCCACCGGGAACCACCTCAAATGGCTACGATAGGACAGAGCCTCCTATATAAGGACTTATTTGACCCTTTTTATGCAAAGTACCAATCTTACCCTTACCTTCCATATCAAGCCCACTTCACTACTTCAGTCCAAGTGAAGGCATGTTAAATATTTACTTTGTGGTTTTACATACTCCGTATTTTTAGGATACATTTTTTTTTTTAATTTTTTCATATAAGACTTCAACAATAGGAAATAAACAAATAGGACTATCATGTTGTTTGCTCTTCATAGAATCATCAGGACCGTTTTCTAGGGGTTCAATAGGTTATCAACAGGACCCCTGGATTTATATGGCCAGGGGTAAAATACTAATCAGTAAAATTTTTAGGGGGTTGAAAATTTACTAGTATTATATAGTAATATTATATATTAATACTAATCAGTAAAATACAGTTAGCTAGTAAGGAAGAGAAATATAGATTCATCATTTTTTCGTTGGTACTTTTACTCTTTTAGTTCTCTTTTAATGAGTATTCAATTGATTTAAGTATAAGTATTTGATTTAAGATATTTTTAATTTTTTTTATTTATATAAATGCAGGGCCCCGATTTTTCATTTTGAACAGGGACCTCCAAATTTACCCTTACTAAGGTGTTGTATGTATGATTTTTACTCTTTATTGCAACAAGTTAATCCTATTAAACTTTGGATGAACTTTACTCCTATACACTTCGTATTTAATTTATATTTTTAACAAATTTATTACGCATATCCCTCAATTAAATGTCCAAAAATGTCATTTGTCATTCAAAATGTTGCCTAACATAATGTAAAGTAAACTTATGTACAATTCATCCGCACGCTTCGACAAACTTCCTAGTGTGACATTTATTTTTAATTTCCTACCGAACTTACTTAATTAGTATGACATTCTTAAGTGAAACAATAGTTAATTACTTAAGTACTTAATTACTTATTTTTTAACTAATTGTTGATAAAGAGATGGACACCATGTGTCCAATGTCCATTGATCACATCGTTTTGTAGTCTCCAAATCAAGGTATACCCGGATGCCTGGCTGAAGGTCGAATCGTTATTATTCTATCAGATACGTTCTTCAGAATTAATTAAAGGCTGATGTTTACCCTTAATACCAACAAAAATTTAATTTTGCTGAAAAAGAATGATTTATAATTCCAATTATGGGCTAAACCATTAGAAATCTTTACGAAATTATTATTCTTTAAGAAAAAGACATTAATCTCCCTCTGGGTCGACAATTCATCATTATCTCCCCGTATCTCATGTCAGGTGTCGTCTTCCTCCCTATCCCTGAATGAGCCCAATTGCAGACATGTAATGGATCTTCTATCAT